ATATATGATCGCATCTTTTATAAAGGTATGTATAAACGTGAAGAGTTAAATTGTGTTATTTTCTGACATCAATATATTTTTTCGATTACACAAAAAATACAAGAGACTGATCATGTAATTTATATATTTTTTTAAATTATAACTAACAGTTTCGTAACCTTTGATATTTGACATAATGTTTATTTCTTATAAGTGCTCATCGCGTCTGCAGTAAAAAGTTTGCTCTTTTTGCCTAACTTTGAGACTAGGTCACGACATTGCGAAGGTCAGGACAGTCTAGATCTAAATTGGTTCTTCATTCTTTTGTTCCGAAACTATTTTTAGGGCCCTGTGGGCAGTTAGACACAAAAAAGTTGGGAACCAGACTAAGCCAAGACCTGAGGACATAAGATAGGGTATGGAAAGTTTTTATTCGATTTTTCGATTAAATGCGTCCACAATGACATGAGACCAGTATAGCAGAGCAGTGTCTTAAGTATAGTTGTAGTAAAAGTTGTTTTTAAGACTAGACAAGTAAAACTGGGATGGGTATCAGGTAAAGGACAATGGCAGGTCTATACATAATTTTATTTGAACTGAAATGGTAGTGTTTAAATACTAAAAATGGCCAACTTGAGAACAACTTGAGAATTTATTTTTGATCATTCTCATAACGAAATTATTGGCGAGAGAAGTCTAGGAAAATAGATATTGGATTTTGAATATTCCGAGGTTAAGTACCGACATATTGTCAATGTTTTGTTTGAAACTAGATGGCGTTGTGTGTCAAATGTCCGAAAATATTATTTTTATTATTATTACTTATAAACAATCCCATTTTGCTGTTGAAAGTGTTAGCCGACTCACTAAAAGGGTGGTGGTTATTTGCTTGGCATGTATTTGTAAAACAATAGAAAACGTCTTTGCTTACCAAACAGGTTTAATTATAGCTATAAATAAATAAAGATTAAAAAAATTAATAATAATAATTCGAATAAGTGTACTTTAATACACTTACACAAGACAGAAGCAATGGTTGTGTGAGTCATACGTGTGAGTGTCAAACGACAAGTATGACGAGGTGAGTGCGGAACTCCGGATCCAAACGACGTATTGATATTTGAAAATATCATAGACAATAGACATACATATGTCTATTTATGTGCCGTTATCATCATTCTGTTCATCATGTTGTTGTTTTTTTTTAAAATATCGTAACTATATTCTATTTATTGAGTGTAGCAAAAATCGTTTAAAAAGATTAAAAAATATTGTAAATTTTATCTAATTATATTGATTTAGTACTCTAACGTACGAGTGAACCCGTGGGCAGAAGCAAATTCATAATCATAAAAGATGAAACTTCGGTAGGTAAGTATTTCAGCCAAAGCTATAAAAATCGATTATCGATTAAACGTTCAATAATATAATAATGTCATTACGCATCCCTAGTCAGTTATGTGATGACGAAACTGACATGACGTACTTAGGTCAAATAAGTTCTTCAAAAATATCCTATCTCTTCTAAAACCACAGAGTATATTGAATAGTATGAGAGTCTAAAACTTATACAACACATAAACAACTTTAATGATAAATCATGTTTTTTTTTTTAAGTTTACTGTGAGTCCCTTTTTTAAACGCTTAAATTTTAAGTTAAATGTTTCTGCCATTGTTCTTTTGATTCTAAGTATTTAATGTTTTGCTATAGTGATAGTTAGATCAATATTAACCCACTAGGTTTTTTTTTCTCCGTCTCGACCCCAAACAAATTTGGGGAAAGGGTTGGAAGATAATGATGATTGTGACGTCTGGACAGAACACATCGGTAAAAAGTGTTAGGAATGACCCTGGTATTCCTAGCTTCTAGTGGTTGTCCAATCATATCATGCCAATGCTTAATAACAGTATTTGCTCGTTTCGGATTGAAGTCTTGTCTCAGTTTACAACCAAATATTTAACTATAAATATACACGCAAATGCCTATACATAGGTATTTTGCTTCTCTAAAGGACAGCTCCTTTCAATACCGAATAGGACCGGTTTAAACGGCCTCTAAAGATGTTACCAGTATGTCCAATCACAAATTCTTAGTCGAACCCATCTGCTCATTTGGTGAGCAGGTCAGGTCATTCCAGTTTCCTAAAATAGCACTTGGATTCTAATCGTAAAGGTGATACTCCTACGGCCTAAAATATCCTAAGATATTTGAAACTATTATATTTTTGCCTCAAAGAAAAAGCAAGCATGGTGAACTCTTTTTTTTCACCTGATACCTGCTGCACATAACATGCAGGTAGGTACAAAGAAAAATAAGTAAAGACTAAAGTTCACGCTATAATTGTAAATCGAACTAAAAAAATTCACCATCCATGTTGTGGTTTAATCATCAGACCATGTTAACAATGCAAATCTCTAATAGATTTCTTGCCACTTGTCACAGCGAATCATGTAAACCCCAAAATAGAGGGTTATACTAATAGATACTGATAACTATCACCAATAGGCTCATGTGTTACATCTAGCTCTATGACACTATATATTGTCATCCAAACTACATAGGGGAAAGTAACCAATATTGAACCGGCGCTTATGTATTCTACCAAAATGACACAATTTGGTACGAGTATATTGGTACAAAAAGGAGCGACAAATATAGCGGCGTATTAGTTGTGCTGCTAGCTCTCCTTTTTGTGTTCTAGTGTAAAATAATAGTGCAATTTTGGTAAAAAATCAGAAGTGGTAAAATTTAAGCGCCGGTTCAATATTGGTTACACACCCCTATGTAGTTTACACAAAAAAGTTTCATTTTGAAAGTTAGAAGCAGGTTAATTTTTATAACGTTTGAGTCTTACATTTTTTAAGGGACTATTCCAAAAAAGAAACTGGTATAGATTCGCATAAAACCTCGTACTTAGAGAGGTTTGGATATCGTTCTACGAAATGGGACTCTTTTTTAACGTTTAAATCTGTTAGGATTTTTCGAGCATCTATCGCTTAGCTTTTTATACGAGTATACAACTATGTTCAAGCCGTGTTCAAATTATGTATGTCATTTTATTGCGATGTCCTTGCGGTTTATGCGATATTTATTTTTTTCGTGATTTTTGATCATATTTAATTAAAATTTTGAGTGTTTTAAGGTTAGTGAATTTTCGATTGAATAATATTTAATTGATTCTGGTCTCTAGTTTGATCAGTTTTTATTTTATTTTATTTATAAAAAAGACAACTCCCGCATTAGGAATATATACATCCTGTGTCGCGGGGGACTTTACAAACATACATGAAACAGACACAAAGAACACCCAGACTCAGAACAACAATTTGTGGATCACACAAAGTGTTGTCCCATGTGGGGTTTGAACCCACAACACTCGGCGTAGTAGGAAGCGGCGTGGCGACCGCTTAAACCACTACGCCATCCGTGCAGTCTAGTTTGGTTAATTGATTTTATTGCAAGTATTTAATTGGTGCTAAGGAGGCAAACCACTTGCTAGAGAATATTGAATATTCTATTGAATCAAGTATATCATATTGTTTTCCGTGGGTAGGATGTTAAAGTAGAGGTTCCGTAAAAGTGTTTTTTTTTAAATGAAACTTCTTTAGAATCGTTGTGATTTGAAACTCGATGAAACGAAAAGCGTCACGATAAAGAAACAAACGCAAATGTATAGTACAAAAACACATATTATTTTTAAGACGAGTATAAAATTTTGACAGTGTGAATATTTTTATCTAAAATTTTATAGGTTATTCTGATTTGAGAAAAAAAAATCGGTAGTTCACTTTTGCCGTGTGTGAATTGCACACATACACTTTTTTTTTAATTACAGGAATGTATCCTGGGTCACGGGGTACTTTACAAACCTATGAAATAATAATATAATAATACGGACACAAAGAACACCCAGATATAGAACATATAAAATAAGAATTTTAGTAAAATTATCGAGTTCGAATGAATTAACTTTCTTTTAAGACAATTTGCACATAAGTGTTATCTAGTTATTAGGTATTTGTGATACAACAACTATTTTTTTTGTATTACCTACTTTATAAATTACTAGCTTTTAGCCTTTCGCGTGTATTTTGCTTACCCGCTGAAAATGTAGCTTTCCGTATGGTCAAAGAATTTGTAAAATCATTTTAGTGGTTTAGCGTTGGCGTATGCACGAAAGCGTAATAAATAAACAAACCAACAGAAAACATTTCTCATTTAAGTATTAATGGTAGCGTATACCTACAGGATAATATAGCTAAATTATAGCTTATAACAAGATATTGAACAAGAATTCTACATGGTATTGTGTGATACATGTTAAATAAAAACAAATGAAGAAAGACCAATTTAAGTTCAAATTGTTGATATGATACAAAAAAAAACTATGGACTTAAAACTTTATTGCGTAAATAGATATTTATTTTTAAACTTATATATAAACTTATTATTACTACTTATTAACTTTAAATTGGCACTAAATAAACGATTTAATATTATTATACTGAGTAGAAATAATGTAATTTTTAAGTACACAGAGTATACACAAATCTCTCGAAATTTAAAAAGAGTAACAATTTTGAAAATTATAGTAAAAACAAAAACCTAAAGCTATAAAATACACTTTAAATCCAGTTAATTATTCCTAACTACCCTGATATATTGATCTGTTTTAATGATATAGATCATATATTGAACTTTAACTGCTAATTTCAAAGTTCAAAATACCATGGCAAGAGATATTCTAAACAAGTAGATTGCGTGTTCGAAGCTGTAGATAATGGTTGGTCAGTGAAAGTAACCATTCCGTTCAACATGTTCGCGTAACTTATTATCACAAAAGACATCAATATTGGTGTAAATTAGTCTTTATGATCATTTTAAATGTTGTTGTGGAATGCGAGATTGTTTATTTTTATTTCTCGCATTCCACACTAGAAATGTGAGCAGGTAACTTTAAAAATCAAGGTAAATGGCTGGCCCATTTACCATTTACCATTTTGTGGGCAGCGGTAAGTGGTTAGCTGGAACTGGATTCATCATCTTCTTCTTTTCCAGCTTCTTTTTGTTGAATCGACTGGTTTTTAAGTGGTCTCGTAGGACGCCAATCTTCCCTTAGAATGTAATCGTTTGCAGGTGGGACAAAGGAAGAAACTGAATTGGGCAAAGCCAAAACGAATACTGCAAGAGATCTGGAGTAGTGGATACTCGTCTTCATGCAATCCTCGTGCATTGAACACGGAACTAAGAGGAGCTCGAAAAACCCGCGGTCGTGTAGCCGTGTGTCCGTTCTGTAGTTGGAAAGGCCACTGGCACAAGAACATCAACTGGTGGGAACTAAATTATAGAACAAAACTAAAAATTTTATAATAAAATCGAATAGAATTTCAGTGTTGTCACTTCAAAATAAATAAATTAGTTTTTATAGTTGTTACGAAATGAATGTAATCATGCAAAATGATTAAATTAATTTGAATCTTCTTGTGGATGACACCTTAAATCAGAATTTATTTTATAATCAGCCGTCCGCCACTTCATATGTAGGACCAAAGTTCGATTGAAATTATTAGACTATTTTTAAATTATTAGACTTTTTAGAAAACTTCAATTATCTGTGCAATTTTCTGAATTTTTCTTTCCGTAGGAACGTTCTATAAAGTATTTAAAATCTTAAAAAAAATAAATGAAATCGGTAAAGTCGTTCTTAAGTTATGGCGTGACCTAAGAAAATAGGGATTTATTTTTATATACTATTATGTCTATCTAGTAAACTTTGGCGTATTTTTAAGGTAGAGTAATTATCAGACCTAGTTTTGTTTTTTTCTTTTAACATATGCGTAAGTAATAAAGTATTGACCGAGTATGCGTACACCGGGGCCGAACGGTAGCTCTCCCAATAAGGCATCGAACCCGTTACTAACGCGACAAACGTCCATTCACTGGCTGATTTATAGAATCGATTCGAATCTATTAGTGGTCAAACGGTTTATAGTTTAATATTAGATATTATATTTCAAGTAAGAAGTATAGTTTTTATCTATTCTAATATAAAAAATGCGAAAGTGTGTCTGTCTGTCTGTCTAGCTGAACCGATTTAGATGAAATTTACTACGGTGATAGTTCGAGTCCTAGGAAAGGACATAGGATAGTTTTTATCACAGAAACCATCCTACTACTACATCCAACTAAGGGGGTGAAAATAGGGATGGAAGTTTGTATCGGAAATCAATAACCGCTGAACCGATTTAAATGAAATTTGCCATTGAGATAGTTTGAGTCTTGAGAAAAAGAATAGGTTACTTTTACCACGATAACCGACGTACACGCGGGCGGAGCCGCAGGCAAAATCTAGTTGAGGAATAAAAGTCCTCATAAGTTGAATTTTCTGTGAAAATGCCTGAACGTTTACTATGATTGTGTTATTATTATGGCAGTTTATTTTATAATTTATATTCGCTTTCATGTAACTTACAAACTGTAGGACCATTATACTTCTGACTGACTGATAATTGTTTCGTTGATTTCCACCGAGAGAGGTTAACCGAGGAACACCTCCTTCCCTCCTTACTCTAGGAAGGGGGGAACTCAAAGGGTGGTAAACCAATCGTGTTTCTTGAGTGGTTGGTATCCACGGGTTGCGGTATTCACTTACCATCAGCTTACCTCCACCTCATTTGACCTCTATAGCTCGTCAAAAGCTGTCTATAATATCTGCAAAGGTGATGAATCTTGGATATATGCGTATGATCCTGAAACTAAACGACAATCAACGGTTTGGGTATTCCAAGATGAGCTGAACCCAACAAAAGTCATTCGTTTAAAAACTTTGAAGCAAATGTTTTTTAGTTTTTTGGTATAAATGGACATGGCTCGAAAACTGAACTGTAGCCAACAGTGCAGTTTTCGAGCCGAAAAGAGGCTGTTGATGCGTTCAAAATGTACGTTTTGGAGATACCACAATCAGAATGGAAGAAGTGCTACGAAAATTGGTTACAACGTATGCAAAAGTGCGTCGATCATCACGGCGAATATTTTGAAAAGCAATAAAACTATAATAAATGCTTTATGTTTGTTTCACATTGTTATTCCGGATACATAAATAGCACCCCTTGTATTACATAATCGATCCAGACGCGTAATTTATGATAATTAATACTAAACAACCTAGTCTCTAATTAATCTGAGAAAAAGAAATTTGTAAAATTTTGACAAAATTTGTTAAGTTCTGCTTTCAAATAAGTGAAGTGAGTTAACCATTTTACTAGTTCTCCTGGTCGCTTCCAAACCCGCAACACCCAAACGCCGTAACAAATATTAACTGCAGATCATATAAGCATTTGGTCCTAGCCGAGACCTCAGCACAACAGTCAAAGCGGAAGAGGTAGGCAAAGAATATTACTATTATAGATTGACTTTCAGCAATATCTGAGTAGATCAGGGTTTATATACCTGCAACTAGAACTGGTTGTTGCAGAGGTGACCGAATCATTATTATCATCTGCTGGACATAGGCCTCTCCCATTGCACGCCACTTAGATCGATTTTGGGCTTCTCGCATCCAACTCCTGCCAGTCATCTTGCGCAAATCGTCACCTACCACCTAATCTAATCTAATTAATCCGAATCCCCTAATCTAATTAGAATTAGACTGATAGTTACATTACAATGATGGCATACTAATTAAAAAAATACAAAAAATAAATTCTTTTGCGTTGTTATAACAAAAAATAAGGTAAGTAGTTGGTCTCTCATGTAAATATAAATTGTTTCTGGAATAATTTACAATAGTTACAGAACTGTGAAGAGACTAACATTGATGTATAAGAAAGTTTTGTTTCACTCAGTTAATTACTGAGATGGTACATAACTCGCCTGAACATGCGAATTTATGTTTATATTATATTTATAGAGTTATGTATGACTTTACTATTGTAAATTAATTAAGTTGATTTATACTTGGACTTTAGTTTGTTGATTTGAGACTAACTTTCAATTCAGGATGTATCAGGTTACTTTTAGATACAAATTATTTCTGGATGAAAGTAACAGGCCCGTTGGTCTAGTGATTTATGACACTGACTGCTACGACGAAGGTCATGGGTGCGATCCCCACCCAGCACATATAATTGTGTTATGAGAAAGATCATTTCATTTTATAGTCCACTGTTGCACATAGGCCTCTCCTTAGAAAGGAGGTTTTTGCCTACCACACCACACTGGCCAGACGGGTTGTTATAGGGGTTTATGTCAAGTTTTTTTTTCCTTCTCCTTCATTTGTTCTATGTCTGGGTGTAATTTATCTATGTTTAATATCTATATTTAATATTACTACGTTTATCAGTAGTCTGGTTACCATAGTACTGGCTCTGACCAATAAGGGGATCAGACTGCCGTGGGTGACATGTGGGAAGTTATGATTTACTTTTAGTAACTATAATAGTATTTTAAACTTTTGTCAATGTTAATACGAATCTTAACAAGAGATATTTGTTTAAAAAAAGCCGGTCAGGTACGAGTCGAACTCGTGGGCCGAGGGTTTCGTACCTACCCAGATTTTACGTAGATTTTCGCGTAAAATTTGTAAGTACCAAAATTTATCTTAAATTTCAACTTTTTTTACTTTTTAGAATTATTCCTTTACGACGTAAGACGTTTTTTTTGCCAAATTTCGTGATTCTAGGTCAACGAGAGCTACCATATAGGTTTTCGACCCAAAGTCTATAGGGTACTTCCGGTTGACTTAGAATTGTCAATTTTGGTTAAAAGCAAGATCTTACAGCACAAGTAAAGAAAATAATCTGAAAAATTAAAAAAAGTTGAAAATAAGGGTATATTTTGGTACTTACAAGTTTTCGCGAAAATCGAAATTTATCCATATCTTTTTATCGTGTTGACTCAGGACCTTGATTTTATACACCTAATAGGGACTATAGACCTCAGTATCTGGTATAAATTTCAACTTGCTAGGTCTACCCGTTCCTGAGAAAATCGGTGGTGACACACGGACAAGAAAGTGATCTTATAAGGGTTCCTTTTTTACCTTTTGAGGTACGGAACCCTAAAAAGTATACCTATCCAGTTCTAAGGACCCCTAAAAAGCTAATGCGATGGTCTATCAAGTTTATACGTTTAATTATGTAGTATAAGTTAATCACGTTGAAAGTATACTGCGCTAATAGCAGCTATGGTGATTGGACGCCGAAGGTGCTAATTTGCTGCCTAAGGTTTCTTTTTAATACCCCATAATTAGCTTCACTTGTTCACTAACTATGTTTAATTGTCGTATTGATATGAATTTTATGTTTGTGTAGTATGGGTGAAAACATTTTACGTATTTGTAGTATGAACGAAACCATGATATTTAGGCATCTTGGAGTTGATCTAGTGACAATCTGTAGGCAGTTCGCCTGTGACCATAGCCTGTGCAACCTGCTCAAAACGTCTGTAGTGCTGATCTCTTGAGGCTTAAAAATAGAAAAATAGGTTTGTACTGCCTATGTTTGTATCAAATAAATCTGTAGATCTGCGATGTTTCATGACCATTATATTGAATTCTTAATTCTTTATTGAGCTGATATAAAGCTGATATAGACACTGAGCATTACTTATTGTGCATATGGCTTAGCACTGGCTAAAAACAGACTAGACTTTATTTCTCTGGCTATTATTATGTTACCTGTTATTTGAGGGTCGCACTTATTTTCAATTAGATTTGTAATTATTTATAAATATTTGGTGCTATTTGTTAGTATTGTTTGAAGTCGGTTTAACTTAAAAAAAATATGATTTATTTAAATATAAACGCGAACGTATAATGAAATCGTAAATCGTAAAAACGGTCCTTGTTTAGGTTTTCAAGAAGGATTAACTAGTCGGTAACAAAAATTAAATTATTAAACTTATTTTTCTGAAATTACACTCGTCTTTACATTATAACTTTTTAAATTACTTTTAAAGTTAATTTAAAACAAAGACCTTTGTTGCAATTCTAGGGGTGGCGGAATGGCGAATCTAGCACCAAAAGGTTCGCGGAGAAAGGTTAAGGACATCCACGAGGATTTTCCACCCTGTAAACAAAAGAAAAGGATCTGATTAAAAACATCATATTTAGTAATGACTAGAAAAAATGGCACTCGTTTAATTTAAGTAGTCGTTGTCTTAAGTTTGAATGGACTGAAAGAAAAAACGGTAATTAACAGCAAAAACATTAAAATCTTGCTTCTGTATTTCCAC